CCCCGCCGGTGACGGACCTGCGCGAGCTGCGGCGGAGGCCGGGCGACATCAAGACCAGGATGGAGCTGCTGATCCTGGAGACCCAGGCCCAGGTGTGCCAGGCGCTGGCCCAGGTGGACGCGGACGCGCGCTTCTCTGTGGACCGCTGGGAGAGGAAGGAAGGTGAGGAGGCAGAGGGAGGCCCGGCAAGGTGGCGACTGGGTTTGAGGGTGGGGAGGTGTGGCTCTAGGCTTCATGCAGCAAATGGCTCAGAATTGGGGGTGGGGGATATCCTGAACACCCACGTAGGGCTTGCTTGGTTAGAAGGAACACGGTTAAGAAGACTACCAGTGACAGGACTTCAGCCTGCCGCTTGTGGGTGTGCATTCAGACATTGTCAGGTTAGTACGGGGCACCTACGAATCCTGGTAATTCCCTAGAAATATTAAAGAGTATTTACAGCCAACAAGCTTGTATATCTAAAGTTTATTTCTTCTACATTTCATTTACTACTTTAAGTGCCTTTTTCTTAGCTCCAGGGATCGAACTCGGGACCTTGTGCTTGCCAGGCAGGCGCTTGTTATATCCCAGGCCCTGCCTTTATTTGTCTCCTTTGCGAAATAGCAAAAGGCTCTCAGCCCTTTGCCAAGTCCCTGCCAGCCTCCTTCATCTGAGGTTCTCATAGTCATGAATCTTCCCACTTGTCTTGCTATTGCACAAAAAAATATTTGTTTGGTTTTTCAGTGGCTGAGCCAAATGTACCTATCAGATGTTGTATTAAGAAATATTTCCTTTCAATGCCAAAGTACTTAAGTACAGAACCCAGTTTTCGCAGAGGCACATGCCAGTGACCATGTTACCTGTATAGTGAAACTTCTCATCTTTATCATAAACTTAAAGGATTTCGGCCTGTTCCTAGCTTGGAAAAGAGGGACATCATCTTGCCAACAGATTTTGAGCTGTGATTGTCCACATTTGTATTAAATTAAGTTCAGTCTGCTTTTCATAGCGTTTTCTGTCTTGTAATGTGTTTCAGTGACGACCAGTGAACCAGGTCCCAAGCTCAGGTAGGAGCCTAATGGTGTGACCTTAGAAGTTATTTAAATTTTTTGTGTGTCTCTTTCCCCATTTATAAAGTGAGATGAGACATACTGTGTGAAAGTGTAGTGTGAGATTTAAATGAAGTCAATAATGTAAAGTACCTAGAGAGTTTTTCAAAAATGGACGGTGTTTGGAGAAATTGAGTCTTTTTCCAGGTATGTGATTTTGACAGACCATATTCTGTCTGGACCTTGGTTTTCCTAATTGGAATGTACAGAGATTGTTGTAGATTATTTTATGTTCCATCAAGCCCTGAAAGCTTTTAGAAAAACAGGCCAAACGTGAACCTTTATTAAACAGTGGTGTGTGATGATCCCCGTGTCTTAAAACAAAAATTAGTACTGCTGCTTACATACCTACTACTAATGTTTCTCAGTTGAAGGTTCTGGATTCCTTAAAAGTTTGAATTTTTGCCTCGTCTTTTAATTTCCTGTAAACAAAACTAAAAAGTAAAGCGCAAACTGAGAGCATTATTTTCTTACAATATGCACCTCTCAAATTTAGCAATGAAAGAATTTGTTTTGTGTATACTTATTCTTATTTTTGTATTTTTGGAATCGGGGATTGAACTCACGCCCTTGCACTTGCCAGGGAAGCGCTTATTCTATTGAGCCATCTCCCCGGCACTTACTCCTATTTTTAAGCGTAGTTTTCTCTTTTGTACCCTAAGGTTGTGGGTTCCAGTGTGTAAGAATGTAGAATATTTGTTTAGCAACCTGGGAAGGTTTACTAGCTGCACAGTATCAGTGCCGAATATCATAAAGATAAGTAGTTGTCTAATTTCTTTGTACCTGAAAACTTACAAATATTCTGGAGGCAATTTGGGAAATAGATAAGGAAAATCATACTGAACTGTCCCACTTTCATGTATGATTCTTTTCAGTTTTGCATGCTCTTTGTTCTCTCCTTATTTCCATTTCTGTACATAGGAGGTGGTGGTGTCAGCTGTGTGCTCCAGGATGGACGCGTTTTTGAAAAGGCTGGGGTGAACGTCTCTGTTGTTCATGGGAATCTTTCGGAAGAAGCAGCTAAACAGATGAGAAGCAGAGGAAAAGCTCTGAAGGCTAAAGATGGTAAATTGAGATTATATTAACAGCTTTTAATAATCCCTGCAACACTTTTTTCCACAAATTTTATTGACAAAATAAAGCCATTTAAATGGAGCATAAGGACTGGCCAGTTAGCTCAGTGAACTAAAGCATCTGCTTAGGCAGGCGCAGGAACCATGGTTCAATCCCCTGCGTGGTGTGCTGGCCCCGTCCCTGGGGTTTGCTGAGAGGAGGATTGAGACTGGGCATGGTGGCGCCTGCCTGTAATCCCAGAGTTTGGTAGGCTATAAAAAGGAGGATCACTACAAGTCCAGTCTGTATACTGAGACCCAGTAGACCCTGCACTCAATACATTTAAAAAAAAAAAAAAAAAGAAGATATGTATACCAGATATGCATGTCCAAAATTACTTTGTGAAAATAAGATACAGTTTAAGAGGCATCTTTTTTTTTCTTATTTTTGTTCTCTCTCTCTCTCTCTCTCTCTCTCTCTCTCTCTCTCTCTCTCTCTAGACAGGGCCTCACTTTGTAACCCAGGCTGGCCTTGAACTCATAGTGATCCACCTGTTTCAGTCTCCTGAGTGATGGGATTACAGGGGTGCACCATCACGCCAAGACACATTTTGGAAAGCAGTCTTTTGCAAATTGATCAAGACTATGTTAATCTGTATGTTTCATGTCTGGTGATTGAATGAATTCTCTCCCTGTTTTACTTTCTAGGTAAATTGCCATTTTCTGCAATGGGTGTGAGCTCTGTGATCCATCCCAAGAATCCTCATGCTCCCACTATGCATTTCAACTACAGATATTTTGAAGTAGAAGATGTTGATGGTATGTGTCTCAAGAGCTATAAAAAGGTGTTAATAGCTGTGTAAAATCTGTATTTTGAAAAGGTAAAAACTCAGAATCCTAGTGTGAATACCATCTTAAGTAGGTCTGTCAGGAGGCTTATGAGGGCTTATTCCTTGGTAGATTTAATAGCTTATGCAGTGCACAACAAGAATAAGAAAATATTAAGTTTGACCTTCCTCCAACACAGAAAGAATCCATTAATGAATCCAGTGTTCAGAATGTACACAGTGTTTGTTATACCTGCAGGAAAGCCTCACGTATGAGTTTAAGTTGAAATTGTGAACTTGATTTTGGAAAATACTTTTTGCATTCTTAACTTTGCTAGTCGTTATGGTTTTCCGCAGTTGTTCATGTCTCATGTGCATATAGTTCCAGCCTGTATCTTCCATCAGCAGAGCCATCTGTTACTGCTTATCAGGGCCTCTGTGCAGTGCCGCACCTACTCCTGTTGCTGTCTCTGCGGAGGGTGATGTGCAAAGTCACTGCTTAATGTTTCAGTTTGAAGACATTCAGTTTGGTTCAGCCTCTTCATGTTTAAAAGTTGGTGACTGGTTCAGGGTATAGCTCAGCGAGAGATGGTGCATTTACCATACAGAAGGCCCTGGGTTCAGTTCTCAGACACTCAGAAAAGTTGATGACTGGCATTGACAACTCAGATCAAAAAAAGCACATGATATAGTTATTCTCAAGTGATAGATTCTCCTCTCAGCAAATGTTTTCATCCTTTATGGGCAAGACAGAAGGGTGGTGGTGCTTTGTATTATCTGTAACATTAAAACTTCCTGGGGAGTTTTTATAAATTATACATGTGTAGGTCAGAAATATGCTTTATAAAGTTATAATCTAGTTAGAGATGTTTAATGTCTGCACGTGATTTTGTTGTATGTCCAGCTTTGAGATTCACTGCCTGCATTACCTGTATGGTGCATTGTATTCATGACCCTGTCTATCATATTTCTATCTGGTTCTACTCTTTAATTTCCTACTTTCATTTCTTTGTGCATTTACTTCCTCTTCTCAGTCTGTCTCCATGGGCTTGAGGTTAAATTCAGTTAATTTTTTTTTTTTTAATGTATTTGGTATGGGGTCTCACTACGCAGCTCCAACTCATAGTGATCCTCCTGTTTTCAGCCTTCCCAGTGCTGGGATTACAGGTGTGTGCCATCATGCCTGGTCTCCATGGCCAGCTCAATGTGCCTGGGGGTGGGGCTGGCACAGCATGTGGTGCTGGGCATCGAACACCAGTCCCTGCACTTGCCTAAGCAGGTGCTTAGTCCCCTGAGCTATCTCACAGGCTCTTAAAATCTTTTTTTTTTTTTTTTTTTTTTGATTGCCACCTATTTCATACTTAGTTAAGCATCTGTATTTGCAGATGTAATTAATACTGTCCTGAAAGTCAGTGTCCACACTGAATCCACATCTTGGTTTGTGTAGGTAACAAGCATTGGTGGTTTGGTGGTGGATGTGACCTCACACCAACCTACTTGAATCAAGAAGATGCTGTCCATTTTCACCGAACTCTAAAGGAGGCTTGTGACCCACATGGTCCAGATCTCTACCCCAAATTTAAAAAATGGTACGTAAATGTGTTAATGCTTCATAACCCCAGAAGGATTTCCCAATGGCCATGAGCACTGAGCACGGAACACCTTTGTCAGCTTTTAAAGACCAAATTCTTACTTCATTCAATTGAAGACACAGAATAACAGTTTTAAACAGTGGCTTTAAAAATTTGCTTTGGAATATTTGGATGTCTGTAATATATATTGTATAGCATTTCTTTTTATTCCAAATTTTTAGAATGTTTAAATATAAACCATAAGACAGTTAATGTGTAAGAATCAAAGGCTCAGTGATCCTAAGGTGAAATGTTAAATTCTCATCCCAGGTCAGGGTTACTATCCTGTTGTTGATTTGAGAATATGTGAGGGTGTAGGGATATTTAGAGAATCTTTTGGGTGAGATACTAATATTCCAGAGATTTTAGATAAGAACAGTGGTAGTGAAGATTTTTTAAATGAAATTCTAATGATAGAGTGGGAAAAGCCAAAAGTTGTGAAGAAATACAGGATGCTTATTAGAAATCAAGTGGGTGCCCAGTATAAATTGTTTGGAATAAGAATAAAGAACTCAGTTCTGCCCAGAGCTAATTGGTGTTCTTAGAAGGGGAAGAAGACAAAAACAGAAGGGTTTTTGTCTTTTTGCTTTGCTTTTAGAGTAATTGTGGAATGTTTATCTCATCTATGCAAAAGCATTAAACTCTAAGAGCCTCAAGAAATGTAAAGCATTTGCATATTTTTTCTAGATTATTATTACAGTGGAAACTACCAGCTGTGGATCAGTTTGTATGCAATATAGGTTTGTTTATTATTTTTGTTTTTTCTCTTCCACAACTCAGCATCCTAGCAGGAGGTGCACAGTGAGGTACATGGTTTCCTTTTTTGGTTTCTTGTAGTTACTGAGAAAAGGTTTAGCAGTCTTAGTTAATAAAATATTTTAAGATGTGTTGTTTTCAAAGAAATAATGTGTTTCATAAAGTTGTTAATTTTATAACATTATGAAGAGAATTGGTGATTAAGGGTAAGTTTTCAAGCTATTGAGGGTATACTTTTTATGGATGTACATAAAAAGGAAAGGCAACATGTCATAACTGAAGTGATCTGTACCGATGTGTCAGCTTTAGTATTTTGGTACCTTTTTTTCTTTTTTTGAGTTTAAGGTGATTTTCAAATTTTATTTTCAATTTTTTAATTTTTTGGTGGAACCAGGGATTGAACTCATACCCTTGCACTTGCCAGGGAAGCGCTTATTCTACTGAGCCATCTCCCTGGCCCCCAAGGTGATTATTTTTTAGAAAGGCATTATTTGAACAAGGTTTTACCTAGAGATTTTCATTGTAGAGATCATTTAAAAAACTGTTTCTAGGTTGTAAACTGTTCTACAAATGTAGGATTTTGTGGAGGATTTCTTTGTGTGTGTGTGTGTGTGTGTGTGTGTGTGTGTGTGTGTGTGTTTAGTACAAGGACTACAGGGTCTCATTATACAGATCGGACTTGTAGTGATCCTCCTGTTTTCAGCCTCCCAAGTGCTGGATTACAGGCACATGTCAACACTCCCAGTTTCAGTCACTGTCTCAGTGCACCCTGGACCCCGGAGGTAGGGCCAGCATGGCATGCTGGGGATCTAACTCTGGTCCCTGTGCCTGCCTAAGTAGGCACTGTAATCCACTGAGCTATCTGGCTGGCCCTTCATAGAAGATTTCTTAGGAAGACTGTTGTGTTTGATGTGGAAAGCAAAAGTCTCAAGGAACACAGTGGTAGTTTCGTGCGCTGGCCCACAAGGGTAAGCATTTCTGTGTTTCAAGACCTGTTCTCAGAATATTCTGTTCCACCAGCTCTTCTCTCTGTTGGGGTATCCTGTTTTACTGCTGAGAGATACCTTGATCATAGTTGTCTGAGCTGCTGCCACAGCTTCCTTTGTGTGTGAATGAGTCCTCACAGTGCTTTTTTACAAGGGGAATATTAGAAGGAACCACAGCCTGGGCACAACTCTGCAGACAAAATGCTGATCATATTTTACTGCTGAGAGATACTTTGGAGTTGTTTACAGTGCCTTCTCTGGTAAATAAAGCTAATTTAAGAGAAGTCAGATCTGCATCCTGGTTGGTGTCATTCTTAAACGACTCCAACCAGGACTCCTCCTACAAAGGCAGCAGTATTTCTGAGGGAAGCAGCTTCACTTACTTCCAGATGTTTAGTAAAAACTTTGAACTCTGTTATTTTCGCTAAAGTTCTGAGAATTTCATATTCTTTAGACAGGCTTCTATGAAATTGCCTAAATTACTTTAAAGATAAGACTATAAGGCATCCTCTATATTTGTTGTGTCTGTAGAAAGTCTGTCTGAAGTCCCCGTTGCATTTTCATGCTTGGACACAAAGTAAAGACACTATCCTGGCATTGGTCGAGGAGATTGCTCTGAACTGCAAGGTCTGCATTGATTTTCATGTGGTTTGTGTGTGTGTGTGTGGGGGGGGTGGTCTCACTGTGCAGCTCGGACTCTTAATGATCCTCCTATTTTCTGTCTCTCTGTTGCTGGAATTACAGGTGTGCGCCACCACTCCCAGACTAATTTCCATGTCTTTTGTACTCCTTTCTGGTCCCTGGCTTGACTTTTCTGCTTTTTCCAGGTGTGATGACTACTTTTTTATTACCCATCGTGGTGAGCGGAGGGGCATCGGTGGCATCTTTTTCGATGACCTAGACTCTCCATCCAAGGAGGAGGTGTTCCGCTTTGTGCAGAGCTGCGCCCAGGCTGTGGTTCCTTCTTATATTCCCCTTGTAAAAAAGCACTGTGAAGACTCATTCACGCCTCAGGAGAAGCTGTGGCAGCAGCTCAGACGAGGACGGTGAGTAGTAGGAGAATGAACTGTCTGTGCATAACGGGGGGAAGCAGAGCAGCTGTGCTAAGTGTTGTGCCGTTTCAGAGGCAGTAGAGCAATCGTACGCGCCCTGCATTTTTTTTGTAGCTTGATGAATATTAAGAAGGAAATTAGAAACTGCATAGAATACTTTATTCCAAAAGTGAAGTTTAGTCAGTTCATCTATCAGGGAGCAGCTCATAATAGACATGCAGTGACTGCTGGTTCATTCAGCTTGCTTCTGTTAGTCCTCTGGCAGGGCCCTCCACTTAATGCTAAGGGGTGGACATTATTTTTTTTTATGATTTGTAAATTTCTGAATCACGCTTTTTAAGATGTTGTGACAGTTGTTTTAACTATTCTCCTGTAATCCCAGCTCTTGGGAGGCTGTAAATAGGCAGATCACTACGATTCTAATCTAGGGATTTTTGGTTTGTTTTGGCAGAACCGGGGATTGAACTGAGGCCCTTGTGCTTGCCAGGGAAGCACTTATTGCACCGAGCCATCTCCCCAGCCCAAATATATTCTAGGTTTTTTGTTGTTGTTGTTTTGTTTTGACAATTCCAATCTAGTAGTGAGACCCTGAACACCCTGTTGACCCTTCCCTAAAATTAAAGAAATAAATAAATAAAAACTATTGCAGGAATTATTTATATTTAGTAGCAAGTCTTAGTAATTGTGGAGCACTTAAACCGTGTGAGCCCCTGTGCAGCTGTATGGCATCCCTTGTCTCACCAAACCTGGGAGATAGGCGTACGTGTTGTATTCCAGATGGTGAAGTACTCAGAAAGGCAATCCCTTGCCTAGTCTGATCAGTTGGCAAATCCGAGATCCCAGACAGAACTCAGTCATGACCACAAAACTGAGTCTTTCCAGGACACAGAGGCAGTTAAGTGGTGGATGCAGGTTTGTCCTTCCTGGGATGTTCGCCTTGGCCAACTTCTCTGTGCATTCTGTTTGGCGAGCTAGTTGGGTGAGTCGCTTTCAATGGTGACATATCTGTGAATGAGTTCCAGATGTCTAGTCTGCCAGCTTCCGTGACTTCTATCATTGTGATCTTAATGGATGTTCAAGTTTCTCCTAGTCTGTCCCTATAAAGTAGGTTTTTCAGTTTATGTTCATTCTCTTAGGCACAAAAAAACTTTGGCCACTAGGAAGGTGAAGCTATTGCCCGAAAGAGTTCAGCTTAACTAATGTTCCGAGTTGAAATACAAATGTTTGTGTTTATCCTTTTTTATAATTGCCTATGCTGTCTTATTCCCATTTAGCAACTTGACACAATGAGCCTAGATTAAATATTAATTTTAGAAATTTTAATTTTTATTTGGTATAGGGTCTCACTACATAGCTCAGACTCGTAGTGATCCTCCTTTTGCAGCCTCCCCAGCACTGGGATTACAGGCGTGCTCTACCACACCCAGTTTCAGTGGCCCGCAGAGCGTGCCTCAGGGTTCTTGGACCTGTGCAACATGTGGTACAGGGATCAAACCTGGGTCCTTGCCCTTGCCAGGCAGGTGCTTAGACTGCTGAGCTATGTCCCCACGCATATTTTTATTTTTATTTTTTATTTTTAAATTTTATTTATTTATGTGTGTGTGTGTGTGTGTGTGTGTGTGTGTGTGGTCAGCTCAGCCCACCAGGGGGCGGGGCTGGCTGGCATGTGGTGCTGGGGGATTGAACCGTGGTCCCTGTGGTTTGCTATGCTTGTTCTAAGTAGGTGCTTTAGACCACTGAGCCATCTCACCAGCCCCCCGACGCATATTTTTAGAAAGTTTTAAATGTACGCTTGGGGACATTTCTTCCCTATAGTTTCTCAAATATGCCACTGGCATTCGTTCCTTTCTTCACTTGACATTTATCATGGGCCTCATATGGTTAGCAGTGCCCTAACTGCAAGGTGGGCTTACCACGACCTGCTAAGAGAGGCTCACTGTTTAGTGAGAAGATACATTTAAGACAATAGCTTGAAACTCCAGAAAGAAAAAACAGTTCTGAGGGCCCACCACATAGCTCAGCAGATTAAAAGTGCCTGCAAGCAGGCACTGGGGCCGGGGTTTGATACCCTGGCCTGCTACGCAGGGCCGCAGTTGAGACTGGGCGTGGTAGCACACGCCTGTAATCCCAGCTCTTGGGAGGCTGTAAACAGGCGGATCACTATGAGTCCAATCTAGTAGTGAGACCCTGAACACCCTGTAGACCCTTCCCTAAAATACAAGAAAAAAAAAAAAAAAGCAGTTCTAGTTGTACGTAAGATTTCATTTGCAAAACTGGAAGATATTGTGAATACTAATAATGTAAAGCATTTAAAGTTTCATCGATACAGGAGCCTGGAGATTTAGCTCAGTGGCACAGTGCCTGCCTGGCCATCATGAGGTCACGAGTTCGATTCTCCATAATAAATAAATAAAACTTCTTACATATGGTAATGGTGAATGTTTGTTCTTTTTGTTGTTTTACATTATTTGAAGACAGGTCATTCTGAAAGAATGTGTATATATTGCTGTGCATATAGTGTTTTGGATTTGTTTGGTTGTTGATCCACAGTAGTGGGGTTGATCCCAGGACCTCCTTCCTGCTAGCTGCATGGTCCAGTCCTGATCAGTATCTCCAGCTCTTTTCATGTTGAAGTAGAGCTTTACAGGCTGAGTTCGCAGTTGTCTCCTTAGCCTCCCACGTAGCTGGGCTTGCAGTTGTGCACTGTCACGCACAGCTTACTACCTCATGCAGTTTGTACGTTTTTTTTTAAGGCAGCAATGTGGAGTGTTAGTTTTATTTTCTATCATGTGGTATACACCTGTTCTTCACAGAGAGCCCCCTGCTGTCCTTATCTTTTAACCATGAAGATAGCAGTAGGCTCTGGGGCCTAAGGCAGTCCCACCTCTTTCCTGGTAGCAGATGCTCATTAATGTCAGCACTGTCTTCAGCGTATGTCTTCTCTATCGTCGCTGTATTCACAACTCATTACTGTTGTCTTCCCCGTGCTTCTGTTCCCTCCAAATACAAATCTCCCTTTTGGTGGTCACTGGTTTTCTTTTGATGTTATCATCTCTTGTTAATATATTGCATCAGGTGTCTTGCCCTCAGGTTTTGGTATCTTCTCCCCAGATTTGAACCACAATCTTTTTCACAGAACAGAGCCTAAAGACATTTAACTTATTTCAGTTTTGTTTTTCTTTGGGAAAATAAAGCAGGATAAAAAGGAGGCATTAATTAAATTGAAGAGGTTGGTTAAAACCCACAGAGGATAAATGTGGAAAGGGTCAGAAAAACCAGATCTGAGTGAGAGTCAGGTATCTTTCACTCAGAAAGTGAAAGGGACATGAAGAGCCTACAAAAATTCATTCTGGGGCTGGTGAGATGGCTCAGTGGTCTAAAGCACCTACTTAGAACAAGCTTAGCAAAGCACAGGGACTGCGGTTCAATCCCCCAGCACCACATGCCAGCCAGCGCCACCCCCTGGTGGGCTGAGCTGGCCACACACACACACACACACACACACACACAAATAAATAAATAAAGGTAGCTTTTAAAAAGAAAAAGAAAAAAAAAAAATTCATTCTGGGAGATCCTTATAGAGTCCTTTGATCCAGTTCTTCAAATACAAACTAAAAAATCAGCTACCCTTACAGCTCATGTTCTACAAGGTAGTAGTCTCAGGTAAAAAGGTAGCTGAGAAATAAATTCTTTTCTATGGTCTTAGGAAGATGTTAAGAAGATCCATTTACATTATCTGGAAAAATGCGTAAAAAGATATCAAATAGTTATTAATGCATGAAGATGAGACAGTGATAAATGAATGATGAGAACTAGAAAGTGATCCATGGATACAGTTGGTTCCATTTCTATAGATCCCTGTGTAAGATCCCACAGTAAAAGGTGCCTTTTACAAAGCAAGTTACCGTGGGATTCTAGAGAGTATTTCCTGTGGATGAGCTTAAAGATAGTAAACAAGAGGACAGGAGTCTACAGTATATGAGAAAAGTGAGACTTAAGTAGTTTCTGAATGAGTTGACAAATGGTCACAAAGGGAGACTATTGATTGAAATTCTCAGACTTATGGCTGATTCTGAGTTTTCTGGGTAATGGAAATTATCCTTTTGAAATTGAGGAGAAGAAACTTTTATATCTTATGTTGTTAAATGAAGATACACATTTTTTTAGAGCCCAGAGCTGAGTGTATGTAATAAAGAATTTGGAAAAGTTAATGTACTGAACAAGTTTTAGTTACTATGAGGATATTTCCTTGGGAGGGAGGGAGGAAAGGAAGGGGAAGGGAATGGAAAGGAAAAGAAGGGAAGGAAAAAAGCCTCTGAGCATTGCCAGTTAAATGTCTGTGTTTTATTATGATTGTTATTAGCCTGTAGGGAGAACGAATTATACAACAGTTTGTAAATACTGCTTTAAGAAAGAGGAGTGTCTAGAATATATTCATTATTAATGAATTGCTGTTGACTATATTTGGACTTCAGTTACAGAACTTTTGCATTCTTTATAATAGTTCTAGGTGAAATGGCATCTTCCACTGTAAAATAGCTTTTTCTGTAGGAGGAGCTGTGTGTTACCTACCCCAAAGGATGCCATTCCTTTCTAAAATTGTTTCTGTACCTTACAGTTCCCAACTGGATGTTCCTTCTCCTTATTTAAGGAAACACATAACCTTCTTGTTTAATAACTACTATACGTTGAGCCATAATCTATCTTATTGTTCTGTGGGTAAAATACCCCTTTATTTATTTGTGTTGTCTGGCTGGAGAAAGCTGAGCCGATGTAGCCTGTACAAGCTCCAGCTGTGGGCCTGGGAGAATGCCCCTTTTAAGTACTTGTGCAGGACTTTGGAAAGATTTTACTCAGCAGGCCCTTTATGTTATCTGTGTCTTTCTTTCAGATACGTAGAATTTAATCTGGTGTATGATCGAGGAACAAAGTTTGGCCTCTTCACTCCAGGTTCCAGGATTGAAAGCATCCTGATGTCTTTACCTCTGACTGCCAGGTAAACAAAACCCTTGTCCTCGGAGTTGTCTGTTGGTTCCAGTCCGTCACCATCACAAAATACGAACGTTAACTCTGGCATGTCTCACCTAATACTTCTTTGGTGATTTTGCTGACCTTATGAAAAACTATGCTCAATAATTCAGACAAATTGAATTGGGTTTTATAAAGACTGACAGAAAGTATGACATAGCTTTGTGTGACACCGAGAGACAGTGCAGGAGCCAGAGGTGGTGGTGGAGAGAGTGCCACTTTGACCACCTTATTGGTAATTTGCCTGGAAGAGTTACATGTAAGAATTATGCTACCATCTACCTATGGATCATCTGAAGTTATACGCCACATGAAGCGGTAGTGTACAGCAGTACATTTTAGCTCTGGATACCAGTATCAGCCCAAGTGTACTCAAGAATCACTCAGTGCTTTATTTCTTTAGTAGCAAATATCTTTTAAAGGTCAGTCAGTGCAAGGCAAATCAGGTGTAGTGGAAAGAAGTAGTATGAGACTTTCTATCCTCTTAGGATTTTATTCTTCATTTATTTTGAGTTAACAGAAGAATGTCATTGATTTCTATTTTTCTTTCTTCTGCTTTGGACTCGCATAGATGGGAATACATGCACTCACCCTCCGAGAATTCCAAAGAAGCTGAAATTCTGGAAGTTCTACGCCATCCGAGGGACTGGGTGCATTGACAAGTGCAGGCCAAGTGGCTGGCTGTGTGGGGTGCGTAGGACGCAGGCGTGTGCCCTCCTCCTTGGGCAGGCCCTGCTGCTGCTGTGTGGCTGCTAGTTCTCTGTGCCTTAGTGCTCTGGCCTTGTCCTCTGGTCTCCTTTGTCCTTTGCTAAGATGTTTTGGATGCTTTCAGTGATGTCTCGTGGGCCGGCAGATTTTTAAAATCAGTTAATGTAGAACTCATATTTTAGAATAATTTCATAGAACCAGTTTACAGAATTTGACATTGAGTTTACAAGTTATTAACATAAGGGAATATAAAGGCTGTAATATATACTGAGAAACTCATCTCACTTTTTTAAAGTTTTGGTTTTGGTTACACAAATCTGTTATCCGTTGTGAGATATGTTTTATTTTTATTAATGCAGCAAAGTTGAGATTTCTTGGCGATTTTAGAAAGCAATTTGAGGGTAAAATTTTTACTTTTTCATTATTAATGTGATATAATAATTTTTATAATGATAGGTATTTTGGAACCTTTTTTTTTTTTTTTTTGTCTTTTTTTGTGACAGGGTCTCACTGTGTAGATCAGGCTGGCCTTGAGCTCATTTTGTAGCCCACACTGGTCTCATTCCCAAGGATCTTCTTGCCTCAGCCTCCTGAGTGCTGGAATTACAGGTGTGAAACACTATACCCAATAAGCAGTTGAAATTATCTGTGTATATATTACAATTCAGTGATTACTTACACATTTTAACTGTAAGGTGACACTACTGTCATTTAAAGAAGGAGTATCTTACATTTGTTATGTGACGTTAACAGAAGGTAATAAATAAATGTTAATCTAGGACTGGGGATATAGTTCAGTGTCATAGTGCCTACCTGGCAAACACAAGGTCCTGAGTTCAATTCTCAGTACCCAGAAAATGCCTTCAAAAAAGGAACATCTAAATTGTAATTTTGATTTTTGTGGAATAATTTACTAATGTTGGAATTCTCAGTACCTTTGAAAAATGAAAGCTTATGTCCCTGGATTCTGATACAGTGAATTTTTTATTCCAAACATGTCTACATAAAAGTTTTGACAAAGAACAATCCTAGGATGAGAATTTAGGCAATGTTTTTCATTGGGAAAATAAAATGAGTTCAGATTAGCTACTCTGTAACTTTGGTCTTAAAAGAAAACAGAATTCTTAATGTATCACTTGTTTATTCATATAGTAATATGAATGTGTTACTTGATGTATGATTTATTGAAGTTTGTAAGAAACTCATATTTTTAAGCATTATCCTGAAGTATGTTGGACATATGTGACTCTATGTGGCTCTTTTATTTTTTATTTTTTTATTTATTTTTTTTCCTTTCAGTCCTTTAGTTAATCTAGTTTCTTACACACTTGGTCCTTATGTGGCTCTTTTAAAACTAGAAAAATACATGAATTCTTCAACTGTTTATAGCAGATCCACTAATAAATTTTATTATGAAATAAGACAATATAAGAAGTGTTTGTATTCTTTGTTTTGTTGGGATAATTATTACAGAAAAGCACAAATATTTCTCAGAGCAAAAATCATGGTCCTTCATTTCTAGGTGTTTATTTAAGAGAAATACAAGAATGTGGTTGTGGTGGCACATATCTGTAATCCCAGCACTCAGGCGGCTAAGGCAGGAAGATTGCTGTGAGTTTGAGGTCAGCCTGGGCTGCAAAGTGAGTTCAAGGCCAGCCCAGAATGCATAGTGAAACCCTGTGAATGATACTTCTAGAAAACTGATACTGTGAATAAATACAGGCACACAGGGATAAATGTTTAACTTTTTAGAAAGAGTCACTTAGGTAGACCTACTTTTCTACCCTATTGGTGTGTTGAATTGTGCTTACAGCTATTAGAAGATGGGCCAAGATGAAACTGCAAAATTTTTCTATACATCTGTTTTCACGTTCATCAGTAAGTGAATTTCTATGAAGGATGAGGCTATGTCGGGAAACAACAGTGCATAACTATCAGAAAACATTTCTATTGTTCTTCAAAGTAAATTGCTCTTTCAAATTCTTGATGTCTATTTGGAGTTTAGTAAACCAGCTGCACTTACAAATGTCCTGAACACCTGAGTCCTGTTGTCCTGCGCGTGCACAGTAGTGGCCATAGGGCTATCTGGAGAATAGAGCGGAAGTGCTATGGAGTCACTGTCTACTTTGCACCACTCTTTGCACCGTAATAATGTGATTTTGTTGGTATGTCACAACCAAGGATGGGTGGTTTACAAAACAAAGAGGTTTAATTAGCTTATAATCTTGGAAGCTAAAAATTCAAGATGTGATGGCTCGGTAAGTGTGGCCTCTGGCGAAGGCCTCGGCTGCCCCATAAGGTGGAAGAGAAGTGGGAAAGCCAGTGGTCATCTGCAAAGGATGCCAAATGCACTGGGAGTCTTGTTGTATGGTCACCCACTCTCATTACCTAGGTGATCAGCCTTAATTAATCACTTTAAGGGTGGTGGCCCCCCACTGACCTGATTACTTCATAGAGGACCCAGCCTCTACCACCTGAACCTTTGGAACAAAAATCACAGTATGTCTATTCAGTGCACTTGAGATCAATCATTTTGCATGCTAAAGACAAATAACATGTTTCCTTAGGATTTATCCTTCTACCTGTGCTTTGTTGTTAAAATTCATCAACATAGGAAGAATCTGCAGATTTTAAACTCACGTGTCTGTGCCTAGGCCGGAATCAGTCAATGGCAGAGTCCACCTCAGACTGTAGGGTACAAGGCCTCCAGGTACATCACATTGTGTATTCTATAGAACAAGGCAGAAGCTTGTTTTCTGATCTGTTCTATTGAGGTCACTTCTGCATTTCACTGGGGACAGTGAGACACAGGCCAATTCTAGATTCAAAGAGAAGTAGATCCCAACTGTCCATGGGAGAAGTATCAAGGAATTTGTGGCTTCAAAATGTGCCCCTGGCTTTTCACACTCAAAGCCATAGAAGAGCTTTGACTCTTCTTCATTGCTTTAATTTGTTCCTGTTTCTGCCATTGAGACATTTCCCAACTTCCTTCTCGTCCTCACCACCCTAATTTGACCTCAGTGTCTCTCATCTAAGTTTTTCCAGTATCTTACCTGCCTCTTGTCATTCTGATCTCCATTCCTTTCCTTAGGAATTATTATCCCAGATTCTATTATCACTATGCTGAGGACAGATTCAGGGAACTACTCCTACTAAAAGGGTTCTAAACTCTGCCTCACGTGCAAATCAACCTACCATTTGTCTCGGACTTCTCTTGTACATTTTTTTCATGTGCTTTAATATAAGACTATTTTTTAACTTGTCCTGACTTAACCTCCCTTGTGGCTTACCCTCCTGGGATATTGCTCTCTTGTTGGTATCTTTTGTGTTCTTATCCTTTTCGTGTCCTGATCAAATCTCTTTAACAATCCTTTGGAAACAGTCTGTTGTATCCTTTTAGCACTTTTTAGTATTGCTGCCACTCCAATCTGTATTTACGAGTTGCTCAGTTTACATACCATTCTATAAAATATTTAAGATGGGTTTTCCTTTATGTATAATACCCCTTATGAATGACTTGTGATAACTTTGTTTTCCAGCACTATTTTCAATATACTGTGGTTGCAAACTTAGTGTTGGCTATCACCCTCTTATTTGTAAAAGCAGAAGTCACCCGTATACTTTGTTTTAAAGGCCATATAGACTTTGTTTTCAAGGATGTAGTTTTCTAACCACAAACATTAGATAGGTATTCGAAACCATACATTTTAAAATACAATTCTTTCCAAAGAGGCACACATGTCAAATTCTCATTTCATAGTAACTCTTGCCTTGCACATTTAAGCTAATGATGCTTAGACCTTTACAAGTGACTAATCCTTTTGTGTTGTTACCTGAAACAGTGTACTTACTGTACAATGTAACACTTCACAGACCTATTTCTACAGGTGGTTTTAAACAATGTACACACTTAACGTGTGCCAACCAAGCAAGGTAATTAAACCACATTCCATATTCTTGTCAGGGTACCTGCTTCTATGTGCTTGACCAGTATTTTAAAATATCTCTCACTTGCTAATCCCCTTCCACATTTCAAAATGTGTTTGGACAAAATTTGACAAAATTTAACCCATAATGGTTCCAATGAGTTGACAGCAAGACAGTCACTTAGGGAAGCAAGTGGACTTTGTAGTCCTTTAGAATTGTGGTGTCATCCCTTCACAGATGGACTTCCTTCTAGAATAATTGGGGAGCTGTCAAACTAAGTGTAACAGGAAGGTTGAATGCCTGTTAGGTAAGAGCAAGTAAATAACGCATTACAAATTGAAGTCTTCCTATCAGTTTATCTATGCTTAGGTTAGGTCACAGTTGCTTTTATTTTCTAATTCAGTGGGGCCAGAAATCTGTTAGAGTTTGTTCTGCTTTTGGTTTTTGATGTTCTAACCATGAGTACTATATGCAGGGCTGAAGCAGCTTAATTTCTTGTAATTTATGTTGTAGCTTAACGGTTTACTAGATCTCTTCAACAAATACTTTAATTACTATCTAAAATAGCACAATTTAATGTTTGCTGAAATACTTTTTATTCTTTAATATATACTTGATTTTATATGCAGTGAATCTGGTCCACGTGCTGCAGTGGACTGTTCGTCATATCAAAAGCTCTAGGGGTTCAGCATCACTGTCATACACTAAGCATGAAGGTAAACAATTGTAATGTATTTCTAGGAAGCAAAGAACAAGGCCCTACCTTCATATTTGCTTCTCTGCCCCTTTTTTCCTACCTACTTTGGTAATATGGAAATGTGCTTTTTTTCCTTGTAGCCACATAAGTCAATCTTAGCTGACACCTTAGCCTGTGCAGCAGGGACAAGACCTCTCTGCTGTGCCCAACCAGGATCTATGATTCATAGACCCTCAACATGAGAAATGAGGGGCCAGGGAGATGGCTCAGTAGAATAAGCACTTCCCTGGCAAGCACACGGGCCTGAGTTCAATCCCGGGTTCCGCAAAAAAAAAAAAAAAAAAAAAAAAAAAAAAAACCATGAGAAATGATTGCTACCATATGTCACTAGAAGTGGAGTGGTTTGTTAAACAGAAATCTATAGTTGGAACCTGTTTGATGCCATTAACAAAAAACTGTGGGAGTGTTTTTTTTTTTTTTTTAATGTATTTAGTACAGGATCTAGAGGGGCTACAGGGTCTCACTATGTAGATCGGACTCGTAATGATCCTGTTTTTAGCCTCCTGAGCGCTGGGGTTACAGGTGCGCCACCACGTCCTGTCTCCATCGCTGTGTGCCTGGGGGGCGGGGCCAGCACTATGAGAGTGGTTTTAACGAGCTAGAAATGCCTACATGCCATCTATACTAGTACTCAGGAATGTGAGATTATAGCTCAGCTTTGAAGTTCAATCGCAACCATAAACTAACCTCTTGTGTTTGGAAAGGTGATAATTGAAAAAATAGACAAAGCTACCCAAGGATATGCATGCAGCCTGATAAGAAAAGAGCGCAAAGAGAAGGAGCAGGGCGGTGAAA